GCTGTGTAAAGATTCCAGATTTGTAGCATAATGGGTGGAGCCTGTGATTTCTTTTAGTATGTTTGATGAGCTACATTAATAATCCAAAAAACAATCAGCTGATTCAGTCAAATGCAATCCACGTTGATGTAATACTAAACACAATAGTAAAATAATAAATGTAATGCGAAAAGAAAAAAATTCATGACAGACTTTGTTTGCAGATTCGCAGGAGCTTTGCGTCATTGTCTTCTTGTGGTTTATCGCGTTGCTGAGACCTAAGATTTTCCAGAGAATTTCCAGATTCTGTATAATCCAAGTGTGCAACGTAAACAAACAAATAGATGAGTCAGCCGGTAAATTCCCAATTCCTTGCTATTCTTGTGATTACGTGTTGTTGCTATGATGTATCGGCTTGAGTGGGTGTGCATGACGCTGTGAATGCACTTTTGCACGGGTGGAAGAGAAGAACTCCTTGTATGGTAAAAATGGGTGGTGTTAGACGATGGATGATATGTGGTTTGTGACTTTTGGTTTTTGGTAGATTTACAATCAATAAATGTTTTCGTTTTCTGTCCAAAAGCCTTTTATTTCTATTGGTTTTGCCTAAAAATGCCTTTTTTATCAAATCAAATTGTAACACTTCTGAACTTAAAAAACAGAAAAATTGCTCAAAAATGATTTGATTTTCCATTCAAGATATAACATTTATTTTCAAGGAGCAATTAACACCCCCAAAATATGTAACTGTCCTTCTGAACAGCTTTTAAATATATACTCCTGTATATCCTGTGCACTGAAATTGGTCTGTGCTTTCTTTATTCAAATGTTTTGAGTAATGAAAAATGTCTTTTTGAGTTGCTGATACATTTTTATCCTCACATGTACTATATTAGCAAATGTTTTGTAGAAATCTGCCTGTACATGGACATGAACTCATCCTGTACAGTAGGCTTTTGTGGAGCTAGTCCACTCTTTGCGGCTGTAATGCTTTCAACTCTTCTGGAAAGGGTTTACACAATTTTTTGGGGAATTTTTGACATTTCTTCTGGAAGTGCATTTGTGAGGTCAGGCACTGATGTTGGATGAAGGACCTGGCTAGCAGTCTCCACTCTAATTCATGAGTTTTTCAATCAGGTTAGGATCAGGACTATGTGCAGGCCAGTCCAGTTCCTCCACACCAAACTCCCTCATCAATGTTGTCCTTGCCTTATGCACTGGTGTGCCGTTATGTTCGAACGGGAACATCCCCAAACTGTTCCCACAATATCTTGTCCAACATATCTTACATTGAAGCATTGAGTTCCTGTGACTAAAACTAAGAGCCAAGCTCAATACCTGAAAAACTCCACTCTAATTCATCCCAAAGGTGTTCAATCAGGTTAGGGTCAGGACTCCACGCCAACCCCCCTCATCCATTTTGTTCTTGCTTTATGCACTGGTGTGCAGTTATTTTGGAGCTCCTCAAACTGTTTCCAAACTGTTTCCACAATATATTGTCCAATTCTTAGATTAAAGCATTGAAACTTCCTTTGACTTGAACTAAGGGGCCAAGGCTAACACATGAAAAACAACTATAATCCCCCTTTACTAAACTTTATAATTGGCACAATGCAGTCAGGCAAGTATTGTTCTCCTGGCAACCACCAGACCCAGACTAGTGCTCCAGAAGAGGACAATGGTTGGGACATTTTTGTTAGACTTTTCTGCATGATGTAAGTAGAGAAGAGTCATTCATTTGATAGTCTCTAATCACTGTTTAGCTTTGGAAAGATGTTCTTATACTGTCTGACTGTGATACAATGGCCTGGTTCATTATTGACATAAATGTGGACGAACAAAAGTCTCGCAAAAGCAATTTAAAGTGCATGTGTGAGGAGCACAAACAAAACATACGCATACATAAATTGGTATGTGCACAAATTATTAAGTGCTTTCAACTCTGGTGACAAAATTCACATCAATATGCAAACCCTCTTATAAGCATACTAACTGAAGTACGTACCTAAAGGGATAGTTTATCCAAAAATGTTGCTTTTCTTCTGCTGACCACAAAAAAGAAGAATAAAGAAGAAAAATATCGATAAACAGTTGATTGTAACCCCTGACCTTCACAGTATTTTCTTCTACCCTGGAAGGCGATGGTTACCACCAAATGTGTCATTGGCAATTTATTTTTATCAAATCACATCTTCTCATCACATGCTGTGTGATTTTCTGTAAAATCTGTCCACTCCATCTGCCCAATAACTGCGGAATGGCTCTGATTTTGAGCAACTTGCGGCAACTCTTTGTGTTAGACAGTTAATTCAAATGAGATGTGCTTTTGATGCTTCTCACTAGCAGTAATGATGCGCATATGGTAAGGTGACAGTGTTCCAGTAATCATGAGCATACACGCACTGCTGCTAAATGGACATTTGAAAGAAAATAGGGATAATTGCACTATATGACCAAAAGTACATAACTCAGTTTAATTACTAGGCTTGGCTCTTCCTTTATTTGCAGTGAAACAAATCATGTCGCATGAGACCAGTACTGTGTGTGCTTTTAGCTTTTTTGCATGTCTTTAATCCTGTTCCAAAATTATAATAAAAACAGAATATGGTATGGAATAAATTGTACAATACACGCAAAGCCCAGATGTCAACCCAATCAAGCACCTACAGTTTAAAGTGAATTAGAGCATCTGTTTATAGATTTTATTGCACCATCCAGTTGCTGACTAAATTCACTGCAGTGTTTGACTACTACCACTGTTTATAGATGTAGTAAACTTCACATAAGATATTACAATTGTTTAAAGGCTTCATTGTGGCCTTCATGCCATTCCTATCCACCTGTACTATTGCTAACATACTGTAATTAGGACTGCTAGCTAAAGCACAATGGCCATGTTTGCATTATACATTCCCAAGAGTGACAACTGCATTTAAATGCATGAGTGTTTTGTGTGTGTGTGTGTGCGTGTGTGTACTCTCTACATTCTTGGAATTGAAAAACAACAGCGTAGCAAAAGTAATGAAAATATCTTATGTTGAATATATGCAAAATTATTAACTTAGTGTTTGGTTGGTTTGGTGGTATAATAGGGTCAAGAATGGATGCAATGATGCGTTTTCAAAATGGGATTTTACAACCATATTTTAAATAAGATTCTTACTGCAGAAACTTAACAATAGTGAACCTAAAACTAAATGTAGCTGCAGTTTGTACAGTATGTGGCCAATAATTTGTTTATTAGTAAATTTGGTGATGTACACTATAAATAGCCACCACAATGCATTAATTCATAGCCATAGTCCTTGTCTAATGGTTTTGTCATTAGGTTTCTAAATATAACCCCAAATCTGAAAAGGTTGTGACAGTGTGGAAAATCAAATAAAAAAAGAAAGTAGTGATTTCCAAATTTACTTGTATTTCATTCCAGACAATACAGCAAACATTATTTAATGTGTTCCTCATGATTATTTATTTATAATTTTTTTTTTTTTTTTTCAAAATAAACATGTATTCCAGTTTTGGTTCTGGAACAGTAAAAAGTTAGAACAGTAACAAAACAGTAAAGCATTTTCCACTTTATAATGTTGCCATTCTTCTTCACAACACTTAAGGCATTTAGGGACTGATTGTGATGAAGTGCTTCAGGTGTAATTTTGTCCCATTCGTCCTGCAAACAAATCTTAAGGTGGGAAACAGTACAGGGTCTTCGGTGTCGCATTTTGCACAAAATGTGACACACATTTTCTATTGAAGACAGGTCGGGACTGCAATCAGACTAGGACTTTGTAATGTGTGCTGAATGTGGTTTTGCATTGTCTTATTAAAATATGCATGGGCGTCCCTGGAAAAGAAGGCAGCATATTGTGCTTTAAAATCTCTATGTACTTTTCAGCATTAATGTTGCCATTAGAGAAGTGAAAGTTACCTTTGCCAAGGGCATTGATCCACCCCAATACCATGACTGACCCTGGCTTTTAGAGTAGTAACAGTCTAGATGATCATTTTTTTCTTTAGTCCAGTGCCCACGGCATCCATTTCCCCCCCAAAATACCTGAAATGCTGATTCATCTGACCACAGTACATGATTGCACTGTGTGATGGTCCATTCCAGATGTCATTGAGCCCAGATAAGTAAACAGCACTTTTAGACACTGTTAACATAGGGCTTACTTTTGGCACAGTACAGTTTTCACTGGTATTTGTGGATGTAACTACCTATTGTGGTACTTGACAAAGGTTTGCCAAAGTAGTCTTGAGCCCATGTGTTGATATAGCTTATAGATGAATGATTATTCTTGATGCAGTGGGATCAGAGATCACAGTTGTTCAGATTAGGCTTGCGCCCTTGCCCTTTACGCTCTGAAATTCCTCCAGATTCCATTAAACTTTTAATTATGTTTTGCACTGTCGAAGGCGAAATATTCATGTCTTCCTATCTTTCTTCTTTCATTGTTTTTAAACATTTTATTAATTTTCTCACATATTTGTTGGCAAACTGGTGATCCTCTGCCCATCTTTGCTCCTAAAGGAATAGATCTTACTTGGACGCTACTTTTGTATCATAATTATAATCACCTGTTGACATCACCTGTTTAAAATCTCATTATTTAACCAATTTACCTGATTGCTAGCCCTAAACTGCTACTGTCCCAACTTTTTTTTAGAATGTGTTGGCAGGTCTGAATGACAGGAAAGGATGTTAATTTACAGATGAAATAAAGTTGACCAAACAAAACATGATATATTTTGTGTTCATATTGTCTGCAATAAAAAACAAGTTAAAGTAAATATAGAATTCACCACTTTATTTTTTTTATTTGTGTTTTACATACTGTCACAACTTTTGCTTATTTGGGCTTGTATATTGTTAATTTATGAATTCCATTCACTTCAAAGAGATTAAATATACTGTCCTTATTTTGCAACTAACTTTTTGTAAGATTTTGCTTTGTGCGAATTGTGTGCAGGTTAAGTATTAAGCAATGTTGTATTTTGTCTCTCTTTTTTGTCCACTTCAGCTCGGAGAAAGAGCAGTTAGCTGAAGAAGAGGAGGATGACCTGAAGGAAGTGTTGGATCTGAGGAAGATCGCAGTACAGCTGCTACAACAAGAACAACAGAACAGGTGATCTTTCACACCAAGTCACATACTCGTGTAACTGTCAGAGCCCATCAACCACAATATCTCCATCAGACATCCTGTCTTCTGTATTAAAGCATTAGTCAAATAGCTTCATTAGAGAAATTAGTCACAAATAACCACATATTTAATTCACCCTTATGTAGGTATTTCAAAGACATGAAAAGCGAGTGCTAACTACTGATTTAAAAACACAAATTCTCATTTTATTTATATTTATTTGTGTTTTATTTATATTTTATTGGTTTTAGGATTACTAAATATATTTAGGGTCTTTATTGAGAATTTTAACTTGGAGTATTTTAACAGCCTGTTATTTGACTTTCCCAAGTTGGACAGTCTCACATATATTCTGCTTTATCACAGTTATCCCTGTACATTATTTGGTGATTTTTAGAGCTGAAATAAATGCAACTCTGACTTCATCAACAAATCTTTACGTTTCTCCATGGTTGCCTGCAGATTTAAAGGCATCTCAGTTATTTGTCATAAAATAATCTAGATTAAAGTCAATTATATATATTAAGAGCAGATTGCAACTGACATGAATACATAACTGCAATATTCAGCACTTTACTAAAATCTTACCTCTAGCATTGCTAATTACTGTAATCAGTCACACTGTATAATTTTAATTTTGTTAATTGACGTCAACTAAATAAAGAATTGCAAGGGATATTAAAGGTTAAATAATAATACTTTACTTCAAATGGGTGTTAAGGTGTCATGAAAACTGTATATGCCAAGACATGTCATGAATATGAAGAAGATTTATTCATGCTTATGACATTCACTGTCATTCACTTGTTTTAGATGACTTTATGGTGACTTGACATATTTAAATACTTCATAACCTGTCTATGCATTTGTCATGAAAACTTGACATTATCAAGACAACATAACTTGTCATAAATCTGTCATAAGTGAAGTTTATTTTTAAACTTATTTCAAGAGGATCACTTTCTTATGATTGCTAGCAGCCGGTCCCACATTATTCAATTTATGATTCACCAATCAAACGATTCCTAAGCCACTTCAAATACCCTAAGTTCCATATGACAGCCATCTTCGTTTTGAAGAATCCCCCCTTCCACCCCTGGCACGGTTGCCCAGTGGTTAGCACTGTTGCCTCACAGCAAGAACGTCACTGGTTCTAGTCCTTACCAAGCCAGCCGATGATTCTGTGAGGAGTTTACACGTTCTCCCCATGCTCACGTGGGTTTCCCCTGGGTTCCCCGGTTTCATCCCATCGCCCAAAAACATGCAACTTAATTTAATTTACTAATCTAAATCGGCACCATAAACATACACCTAGTAAGTAGTTATCTTTTAAGAGTAATCACTATCTTTTCATTAGCTACTACAGCAGGGGAGTTGTCGAGATCTACCTGAGCTCAAACTCCCCTCTCGCCTTGCAAACGGGAGGGAGCCCCAGGCTCGAGGATGTGTGAACTCTTGAAACATGATTTTCATGAAGCCTTTATAATTGTCATGAATATTAAAAAAAACGTCATTAATATTTTTCTTGATCTCAACTACAGTGTAAAATTTGAATGTCATTAAAAATTCTTTATCTTATTATAAAATTATTTGACAGAGTATTGCCACTTTTAATAATACATTATAATGACAAATTCACTTTTGTTTCCCTGAAAAAATTATGAACTGAAAAATATTGATGACACATATATAATTGCTTCATCACAACTATGTGTAGAGCTGACAAGTTATGTTGTCTTGGTAATGCCATACTGTCATGATGAAGACATGTCTTGGTAATGTCAAGTTGTCATTAAAAGGACAAAGGCAGGTTGTCATGTATTTGTTTATGTTAAGTCCTATACAATGCCATACTTGTATTTAAAATGACAACTGAGCAATTGACACTCAATAGCAGTTGTCATGAGCATGCATAAAAGCTCTTTTATATTTCTGATGTTATGATTATAGAGGTGTCTTTTTGAATACCCCTTCAAGTAAAATGATACCAAAATATCTTGTATATTTGTTTTCTGATAATAGACAAATTTTGAATCGGCCTGGAATCACAAGAGGATGAGTAAATAATGACAATTAAATCTGGAGAAGTTTTAATTAGAAGTAAATAGGCTACTCCTCTCTTCAGCACTCCCTTTCTTTTTCTTGGGGCTGATCCTGATACCTCAGATGACTCTGCTCTCTTTCATTGCAAGTTATAACAGAGACGAAAGCAAGATTTGGCAGATTCGATGCTCTAATCCATGCAATTTCCTTGTTCTAAAGAAGTGGATGACTGTCAGATGTTTTGAAGTAATAGAATCAGACCCCCCCCCCTGCTTACTAACAAATGAATCACCATATTCCTCCTGCTCTGTCTCCTTACATCTCCTTCCCCATCACTTTCCTGCATCTCCACCGCACCCTGGGATCTGATTGGTGCTCGCATTGCGTTTGACTCTCAGGAGGCGGTCCCTAATTTGTAGGGCAGAGAGTCTGATACATCGTAGAAGAGCAGCAGGCAGAGCTCACAGGTAGAAGGACAGATGTGTGTTTGCATGTGTGTGTGATATACAGTGTGTGTATATGAAAAATGATGTTTGCTGTTTGTTTAAACTAGTTATTTAAAATGAGCTGCAACAACACAATTAGTGAGTTCTTATTACGACAACTTAATTGTTTTATATTTAAACTACTTAAATTTGTAAAAACTATTTGTTAACTAAATTCCTTCATGTTGTCCCAACACAAATCCATTTTGTGGGATTCAGCATTATTACAGTGTAGGACACATTCTCAGTATATGTGGTCATGTGTGTTTATGTGCATGTTTGTGTTAGTAAGCACATGCGTGTTTAGGTTTAATGATGCCAAAGAGTCGAGCATTACAATTCAAGTGTGTTGCACTTTCATATTCCTTATCAAAGTCCATATGCTTCTAGTACTGTGTTGCATGCCCTTACTAAAAAGGGTTGTATTCAAGTGCACACCTGCCAACACTCCCATTCTTCCCTTCGAGTCTCCTGTATTTTAGACTCATCTCCTGCCACTCACCCATTTCGTTATTTCTCCCTGTAAATTCCTGCAATTTTACTTTCCTTAGCTTTTTTGGACAGTCTGTAACACCCTCGGGTTGCAGCAGCCGCCCAAAACCCGTTGCATAGTACAATTACTTACCTGGTTTTCAGCTGTGTTACTCAGACACCTCACCCCCGAGCCAAGCCAAGTCTTCAGAGTATGGAACACCAAACTTGGCTGTATGTCACAATGATTCTTTCTTCTTAACTTACTATTTACAGCTAATAGTTTAACTTGCAGTATAAATTAAAAGCTTAATTGTGGACTACTTGTGCATTTAAGGTTTGCTAAAGTTACATATATACAGTAGTACACTTTAAGTGCACCTATGATGAAAATCAACTTTTGGATGCTGTTTGTACAGAACTGTGTGTATGTATAGTGTATCCACTGTCATATTAGAGTGGTAGAAACTTTTTATTTCATGACGTTAAATTAAGACCCAAATCCCAGTGATTTTGAGGCTCACCGCACTGTGACATAGCAGTGCAGTTTTCTCCACCCACCGACAGGCATCATGTTTCAATAATGACATGTATAGACATGTCCACAGAACAATTTTTGGGCTTCAATATTTACACCTAAGAAATGGGACAGGACTACAGCACCTGTACACGTCATCAGATGTCATCGCAATCTCTTGCTTCATGTAAAATCACGACGATCGCGACTGCTGTAGTTATTCCAGTTGAGTTATTTTTTGGTGTTTATCTTCAGGAAATCACTGATAGCATATATTATGTTATCATAACGATATAATGTGACAATAAGATCTATACTGTGTATTTACACAGTGGTCACATTCATCTATGTAAACACACCAAAAACAACATTAACATTATAGAAGTCACTGTAAAATTTTCCAGCCACTAGACATTACTGACAGGGTATTTGAGAGTCATCAAGTGTCAGAATGTTGTGGGACTGCTATACAGGAGTTATTATGATGGATTATAGATCACCAAATTTAGCGTTTTTTTTAAAGCATGACGGTAAAACACGAACGCAGTTATAAAATTATATTAAAACGTGTTTGTTTGTTTTAAAAATTTCTAATAATGCCAAAAAATACTAATTTGTGGATCTCCTTACTTCTGGGTGTAACTATCTGCTGTTGTGGCTGTATTCTGGGATATTTTCTTACCCCTTGGTTTCGATTGTGGTCCTGAAAAATCTTTGTTCGAAGGGCTATTCACCCCTTCCCCTTAGCCCTACGCCTTCAAGCTAAAGAGAACTGGGACACCCCTACCCCTTGAACGAGGGGTGGGGGTTAGGGGAAGGGCTAAAGGGTAGAATTGGGATTGGGCCTAAGACACCAAAGGCTTATCTTACATCTTGTAAAAGGATTAAAATAGGTGTCCATTAAAAGTATACTTTTATTTACTTAAAATTGAGTCAGTTTAGTTTAAAGCTATATTTAAGTAGTACACTTACAACTATAGCACCAGTACTTACAGTACATACATTTTTTTTGCTGAGGCTGATTTTTAAGAAAATTAATAAAATAGTTTCCTGCAATAAAAAAAAAAAAAAAAAAAAACTGTTGACGTGCAGAGCTGAGCTCTTTTCTTTTGAATTAATTGCTTCAGTTCCCATAAAAAGATTTAGTGTTCTTTTTGGAAGACACCATATGTTTTGTTACAGATCATTGCGGAGAGCTCTTCAATTTCACTTTTTTTTTTCTTTAGCTGTACATACTGTACGCATTACATCTTAAATTACCTAAAATACTTGCCAATTTAGACTAAGATACATTTCCAAATATCCCGATGAACGTTTTTGTCGCCTGTGAATAATTTTTTATGATCAGATACCACATACTTAACTGTTCAGGTTACAAAAGCTAAATCCATGTTTGGCTCTCATGCGACAGTTTCTGTCAAGCACCTGGCCAATTACGAAAATACATTTGAATAAAGATACAGATCAAAGTCTTCGCTACGTTATAATCGACGCTGTATAAGAATGACTCGTGCCCATGTTAAACATTTTTTCTGCGTCATTTGAAAAAGGCATAAAGGTTGTTTTGATCTTGCAGGTTTCTCAGCCACTCAGGGAGCAGCACCAAACAGAGATCTCCATCTCAGACTGTTAGAAGGTATCTCTCTCACGCATAAACACCTCCATGCTAGCTCTTTCTTCATAAATCACCTTTATTCACCTTTTTACACACACCTAAGCTATTTACTGTGAATGTGGGATGTTCCCTATTTAGTAATTGAGTAATACTAATAATGTAATATATAATAATAAATAAAAGAAAATGTAATATAAAATAACTTGGGTTAGCTACATCAATAAATGTAATAATTAGTATTATTACAGATGTCAGTTTATAGAGTCGAACAGAGCTAAAATAACTGGGAGAAAGTTATACGGAAACCTTGAACATTGGGGGTAAAAATAGCAACACCCATAATTACTGTAAATATATGCTGGATAATGTTAACAGACATCATTACACATATATTGCCTAGCAAGTAGTCTGTAAATGTACATTAGAACTATGACGACACTTACTTTCATTAAAACTGGTCCATAAGCTTCAGGATTGACATCTTAAGTGAATCAGATCAACTCTGTAAAACAAACTGCTTGGCTAAATACAATTTTTATTGAATGCCTTAAGCTTTTTTTACAGTGTGTGTTTTTTTGATGTCACTGTTTCAACAACCATAGACAGTGTCACAAATTTTATTTCCATCAAGCATTACGTTTTTTATCTGAGATCTTGTATTGGAATATCCTCCTCCATCTGATCCTGAGGAAGACCAACCACTATGTAAAATCTACTGCAGAAAATCTCAAATATTTGTAATTGGCTTATAGGGTCAATCAGATCATTTCCCTCAAAAGTTGGAATACAGTAACTACAGCAAAAAAAAATCATAAAAAGCAGGAGAACAGCAGTCTGGCCAAGAGTAGATACAAGATTCGGCTGACTGAAGCAGGATAACAAATCTATTTTAGACAAAACAAGAACGACAAAAAGAGAGACAAAACATTGGCTGGGGGCAAGCAGGTAGTGGATGAATTTTGGGTTTTAAGAAGGTTAGTTTACAGTGCAATTAATAAAGCTTTAGAAAAACCTTGAACATTTGCTTGGAATAATTACAAATATCGGTTTCTATGTTAATGTATTACATTTTATTGTAAGATGTTGTCTTTACATTTTAGAGCTTTTTAAAGAATTTAATAATGAATGCTATTTTAAAGTGTTATTAGTGAAAACAGACTGTGTTATACGTGACACAAATACATTTAGCGTTTGTTGAAAAGATATTTATTGAGGATTAAGAGGTCTTTTTGACAAACTAAGTAAATTAAAAGATGGGGATTAAATGGAAGGGTGGAGAAGAAGAGTTTGACAGCCCCACAGGTAGCAACAGGAATGTACAGTTTACACCTTGTATTTTTTTTCAGACCTGTGGAATTGTTTTGGATCAGATTTGAGGACAGTTTTCTCAGATTCAGTTCTTGGAATAGCTTAAAGTTACAGAATTTACCATTTTTTTCCCAAAAGTCTGCATTCAACTGTTCAACAGTCCAACTTTGGTGTCACAAATTTAGTTTTTTAATGCTGATTATTTTAGTTAATTTGTAGATTAAAATGTTTACATGTAATTGTCTTTAAATTATATTTTTTCTTAGCAAATAATAATGATGATTATACAGTTTTACCGTGATTTACTTAAGACACCCAGTAACATTTTAATATAAGAATTTAAATTATATTAGGAGCATTTTTGTAATGTATAATAATGCAGCACAAAATACTAATCAACTGTAAATTTAAATACTTTTCCTCTTTTTTTTAACCTTTGTTTTACCCATTTATCAGCAAGACATTTTGTAATTATAATTGTATTTTAAAATATTAAAATAAAGTAAATGTTAAGGTTTAAATGTATGTAATAAAATTTATATGTATTAGTCTCCCATAGTTTGAAATTTTCATTTTATTTTAAACAAAGTAGACAGTTTATTGACATTAAATTAGTTTTTTGTCTTTTTTTTACTTTAAATTTGATGGAAACAAGTAGTCTTTGAACCACATTTTATCTAGTTGCATGTTTTAAGACGTTAGCATATACACAATTCTTATTAGAAAGTTACATAAGTCTTATTTGTTTTATTTTGGCTAGAATAAATGTGTTTTTTAAATTTATTTAAACCATTTTAAAGTCAATATTATTAAAATATATTATTAAATATTTAAGTCATTATTAGCTCCTTAAGCAATTTGACTGTCTACAGAACAAACCAATGTTATAAAATGACTTACCTATTTACCCTAACCTGCCTAGTTAACCTAATTAACCCAGTTAAGCCTTTAATTGGCCTTTAAGCTGAATACTAGCATCTTGAAAAATATCTTGTAAAATATTGTACTGTCCTCATAGCAAAGATAAAATAAATCAGTTATTATAAATTAGCTATTAAAATGCTAATAATTATGTTTAGAAATGTGTTGAAAATTTCTGGCAAAGTTAAGGAAAAAATATAAAAGAATACATATTTAGCAGGAGAGTTCATGGGCCCTATCCTACACCCAGCGCAATATGTTGCTATTTTCAGACCAACGCAATCCTAATTTTCCCGTTTTAAGCCATGCTGTATAAATTGCAAATCCATTTGCAGCACTTTGTGGACTCATGGGTGACATGGGGCATTTGTTGGCCCGTTGCTATTTTGAGAAACTAAAATAGACAGCACAATTGACCAACTGAAAGCTGGTCTAAAGTCCGGCGCAATGAAGGAGGCTCATTCTTTATCCTGGTGCTGCAGATGGTCTGTTTTCTTGCTAGTGAAGTGTTCAGTTTTTCCTCTTACAAAATCCGCCTTAGTGCAACTTAACTGACTCTTAAAGGGAATGGGAGATGAGACTCTAAATGGTTTAATACATGTTATCCCCTAAACACACCCATAACTCATTAAGAGAATAAGCACAACCCTGTTAGACCGTGCTCCGTGGCGCAAACCGTATTTTTCCATCCTTAAAATAGCAAAAGTGGATAGGACAAGCCCCTAATGCTTTTTGCACCATGCGTTTTAGACTTTATGCCTAGATTGTTAAAATAGACCCCCATAATTCTGACTTCAACTGCATATTTACATATAAAAACATAAGACACACATGTAAGCAAGGTATTTTTAAATACAATATTTGAATACTCAAATTAGTTTACAAGCAAACTTTTTTCCTGTTGAATAAATTGTTTCATGTCTACATCATCCCTTTCAGTCTAATCTAAAAGTCATTCAGACAAAACTCTATTCATTAAACTTTTTTACTTCAAGTCTTTCAATCTGACTTTACCCTCAACCCAGTAATTTAGTTGCATGTAAAAATCAAAAATAAATATGCACATTTTCCACAAAACATTAAGCAACATTTTGAAAAAACTGTATATGAACTTTGCTTATCTAGTTTTGCTAAACGTCATAGTTTAAAATGAATTTTTGAATTATAACAGAAACCTCAAGGCACATCATATCAGTCACAGACCTGTCAGTATTGTCTGCAAAAGCAGTCCCAGCTATATTACAGCCCCAGACATGCCTGTCAAGCTGTTCGCCCAGAGCATACAGCCTGATTTAGACCACTAGTCTTCTAGAATTACAAGCTGTCAATCTCAACTGTAAGGTTGTCTAGTATACAGCTCTCCATTACCTTTATCCTCCACAGACAAAGTAGGCGGATTAATGATCTGACAGCACATCAGGCCCCACCTCACACGCATGAGTGAAAACATACATTATTACATGTGAAAACCCAGCCAGAAAAAACATTCTCAGTTGCCCTTAAGTCCTAACATGTTTTTTTGATCCTCAAAGTATCTGTTTTCTTTACAGTGCATCTCTAGATGAAGGAACCAGCTCCGCATCAGCATTCAGTGGACAGGTACACACATCTTTACCGACAGACGCCTTGATAAACATGTCTACATGAGTGCAATAATGCGTACAGCCATATGCTCAATTTGACATACCTTGTATGAAATACATGCTGGCTTCACACTTGAAAGTGTCAGTTATTTGACATCTAAGGTTTGATGGCGCAAGCCCTTATTTTTACAATAGAAGCGCTGACAGCACTTTATCTGTTAGTACTGTATAACACACAAGTTCTTTTGTACGTTAATCTGTGTTTTGAATGTGACCTGACATGCTAACTCATTGCCAGATCCACATGAAGTCTGCAGTCACTGAGCAACACATGTAAACACCCTAATCATATTATTGTCTTTTTCAGATTAAGGCAGATAATTAGATTACTGTTGTCCATGTAAACATAGCCTAAAATAATTTAGCTGGTGTTAGCAGCAATTTTCTTCTTAATGTATTTTAAGGGATGTTCATTTACTCACCCTCAGGCCATCCGAGATGCAATTCGCTTTTTATCTTTCAGTACAACAAAGAAAATCTTCAACTGTGGTCCTTGATGATGTACAAATTGTAAGGGATTTTGTGTAAATGCAATTATAATGTCACAGATAGTGTGCACTCTTCTTCAGATGGATCTTTTTGCTCGAGTAGATCTTAGTATGTTGTCAGGGGCCTCAGGTAGAAAATTACATCATCATTTACTCATCCTCCACTTGCTCCAAGCCTTGTGGAGTTTCTTTCATGTGTTGAACACAAAGCAAGATTTACTGAAGAATGTTGGAAAGCAGCAACCGTCGGCTTCCATAGAAATTTTTGTTTCTAGTATGGATGCCAGTGGCTGCTGGTTTGCAACATTCGTCAGAATATCTTACTTTGTGTTCAACAGAAGATAAATGTAAACATAAATGTTTAAAAACAATTCAGAGTAATTGGTGAGGATATTTTTATTTGTGGGTGAACTATTTATTTAAGCTTTCAGATATCAATGCAAGTGCAGGACTCTTAGCTTTATTGGAGTGCAGAAAATGTCTGCAGATTTCATCTAAGTGTGCATATCATCATGTTTGTCGATTTCATTCCTCCTTATTCAGTTTTTTCCTATGTGTGTGTCTGTGTGTGTTGTTTCAAGGAGACTGATCTCACTGATGAAGATGCAGCTTTCTCTGAGGTCACTCTTCACTTCATCACATTTTTCCTTCTCATATTTCATTCTGAAGCCTGTTTCACACCGCAAGCGTGAGCAGAGGGTGTTTTTTTCGGCATCCATGTTAACAGATTAGAGCTTTCATACTGCACTCACGCTCAATTAAAGTGTCAGTGCATTGATAATGAACAAAGACACACATGGGCCTGTTGGTTAGCACATTTCTGCAGTGGTTTACATGTGTCAAATTGTAAAAGTAGACTTTAAAGAAATAATAATTAACAAAAAATTTCATACTTATAAAATAATAATAATAATAATAATTATTATTATTGTTATAATAATAATAATAATTATTATTATTATTATTATCATAGTTAATGTTATTATTATTATTATTAAAGTAGGATTTTTTTCTAATAAATTTTACATTTAATTTCTTAATAAATTGCATCATAATTTATTTATTTATTCATTTATTTGATTGATTCATATTTGATTTTAGAACACGTGTTAGATTTTGCAAGTGGCTTTATGTTTTAGAAATAAAATATGTAATATTATCAATAATATTTGTAAAGGAAACAAAGGCCCTATATGTGCCATTTACATATATTTTAATTACCATAAAAAACGAGTGCATGTTTTTACCAAAACTAATATTGGATTTTTTTTTTAAATGAGTGTGAGTGTAAAGCAATATAATTTGCACAAAGAAATTCTGAGTTTTTTTCTATAAAAAGTTCTTACCACCCCATTTAGAGCATCATTATGGGCAATTTAAAATATAACTAACGTAATTCAAACGATAGATCTGGGACAGTAAATCTAAGGTTTTGGGAAACACTCGTCACTACATAGTTCATTCGCGAGTTGCGTTGTTGTTTGGGAAACGCACCCTTGTGCAGCAGTCGGTGTAAGAGGCAAACACCTGTGGGCTTTTTCTGCTCTCCATACGCGCTGCTTACACACTGCTTGCGGTGTAAACCAGGCATTTTCATTCTTACCGAAAAGCTTCTAAGCTCCAATCATTTTAGTATGACTTTCATTAACATTTACATTTTCTATTAAAGGGAGGTTTCACTCAAAAATGAAGATTCACTGATCTTTGCACCTCACTTGTTCAAAACATGTCAAAACAAAAACAAGTCATTGACGTCCCTAGTATTTTATTTTTCTACTATAGATGTCAATAGACACCAGTTTCCAGCTTTTATTAAAAATATATACTTATTTAGTTTTCCAACAGAAGAAAGAAACTCGTAAAGTTGTTGAGCCAGGAGTCTAGGTGAGGAATTGGCATGCACATTTTAATTTTGGGTGAACCTTCCCTTTAAGTTAATCAGCAATGAACATAAGAATTTATTGTTCTTCAAAGTCTATTAACAACAAATGCAATATTTTTTTACTTTCTATCGAGAATCCTGAAAAATATGTAATATAGTTTTCACAACAATATTAAGCAGCAGAATGGTTTTCAACACATTCTTTTGATTTCATGCTTTTAATCGTTTATGACATCTTTGCCAACAAAAACCCATCTGAGTTATCAAACCACATAATGTGAGCAAATGTTTGATGGATTTTCAGTGTTGTTCATCAATGACCCGAAAGAGCAAGTTCTGCCAGCTGGCAAGAAACACACTTCTCATTGCCTTCAGCTGATTTTATAGTTAGAGAGTCCTGTGATTCACTCTAATGTTTTGATTCTTCTTCAGCCTTCTTCCTCTTGCTCATTTGACGGAAGTTTAAAATCAGAGAGCAGTGACTCAGAACCAAGATGGCCAGAGGTTCCTCCTGTGCTCAACCAGAATGAGGATCGTAGAAGAAACAAGTACCTGAGAAAAGACTACCTGAAGGTACAACACCCAAGCACGTGCACATTCCCATGCTGTCAAATTGTGTGTTATGATGTATACTCACGTTACTTTTTTATAATCATTTTTTAAACACACATACAAATATTTCAATACTCTGTGCCAATTTAACCTGGTACCCTGTATATATCACATGGATATTTCCTGGAAAATAGTGTGAATTGCATGTGACGTGCTTCACTGCGTTACTCATAGTTTTCGAGTACATTGTGTCTGTTGCTCCAAATGTTCTCCAAACATCCTAGGCTGATGTATTATCTATACTCATCATCATTCAGGATGTCAGCTGTTTATTTTTTTTTAGCTTTAGTTACTGGATGATTGTGCATGCAGATTTACTGCATGACTGCATTCTCAGATCTCGTCAGTTCATGAACTGGCACGCAATTGGCTGTAATTTTTTATATTTTTTGTCCCCTTATAGATGTTCTCCCTTGAGGGAGATTTTAAGACCAAATTGTATCTGATAGTCTGAAGAATAACTCTTATTTCTTATTTATTAAGTCTTATTTACACTATATATACTGTTGCAAATCTCCTATTGTCACGTCTGCCAGCAATGACTAAAGAGATCGCTGGTAAACTACAAATCCATTCTTAACTTTCGAGATCAGATAAGATTGGGCGTGCCCAGGGTGGTATGGCAGTAATCGATTTGTAATTCATGACTGATTTGTAGTTCACCAGCGATCTCTGCAGTCATCGAACGCTGGCAGACGTGACACCTACAGTTGAAGTCAGAATTATTAGCCCCCTGAATTATTAGCCCTCCTGTTTATTTTTTTCCCAATTTCTGTTTAATTGAGAGAAGATTTTTTTCAACACATTACTAAACATAATAGTTTTAATACTTCATCTCTAATAACTGATTAATTTTATCTTTGCCATGATGACAGTAAATAATATTTTACTAGATGTTTTTCAAGACACTTCTATACAGCTTAAAGAGACATTTAAAGGCTTAACTAGGTTAATTAGGTTAACTAGGCAGGTTAGGATAAACAGGCAAGTTATTGTAAAACCATGGTTTGTTCTGTAGACTATCGAAAAAAATATATAGCTTAAAGGGGCTAATAATTTAGACCTTAAAATGTTTTTTTTTTATTTAAAACTGCTTTTATTATAGCCAAAATAAAACAAATAAAACTTTCTCCAGAGGAAGAACTATTATCAGACATATTGTGAAAATTTCCTTGCTGTTAACATAATTTGGGAAATATTTAAAAAAGAAAACTAAATCAAAGGGGGGCTAATAATTCTGACTTCAACTGTATGTAGAGTTTGAATAATGCAAAATAATGGAAAAAAGCCTATATGAATTCCTAGTGACCCACAGTAAACCGACGCAGTCTTCTAACATGGATCCAAATCACTAAGAACAGATTCTTCCTCTGAGCCCTGTAATTCACTATGAAAACAATTTATTGTGTCAGCTGAGGGTTCACAGAGATCTCTGGTGCATGTTAACTTCTCTGTTGATGTGTCAGTGATGCTTGACACATTCTGTAAGCAGATGAAACATGGAGAGTTGTTAAAACAGCACCATGTGTGGAGTGAAAAGATTCTCAACATCAAAGCCTCATGTCAGCTGTAAAGGAGGTTCTGGTCAGTCTTGCTGCCTCGGGACCTGAATATCTTGATGACATTGATAATGGGGATAGTGGAAAAAAAACAATGACTCAAAGCACATGTGTTGATGAGCTATGAAACAGCAGGCCAATTTCTGCCCTCTGCAGTGGCTCAACCTGACTTAAGTGTTGGCACAACCTCGAGAGGCATTCATAGCAGATAGAAATTTGATACATTTGAACTATCTGAAAGAGTTTTGCGAAGAGGTGTGGTTTGTGCTCATCTAATCCACAATTACAGGAAATAAGGGGTGGAGGATATTTCGGGCAAAATGAGGGTTATTAAATGCAGGGTTCAAAAACATATTTTATCCATGCGTAACACAGTGTGGGACCACCACTGGCGCAATAATGAGATCAGAGACATGGGCGAAGTTTAATTTGTGTAGGTCTTTTACTTACCCATCTGTGAAGTTTGTTTAATTTATTATAATTCAGTTATAATTTAATTATAGCTCTGTTTTATTTCAAAGTCCTTAATTAGATTTTCTGCGTGGAATATGAACATAATTATTACAATATTATTATTTTTATAAAATTATAATTCTATTTTATTGCTGATTTTACTGCAGTACACTCCTTACTCAAAAACTTATTGAAAAATAAAGAAAGAAAGACATGGGGTTAAAAAACAAATACTGTATATATTCACTCACCGGCCATTTTATAAGATACACTTTGATGATACCAAGTTGGACCCTTTTTTACCTTTAGAACTGCCTAAATCCTTCATGGCATAGATTCAACAAGGTACCGGAAATATTCCTCAGAGATTTTGCTCCAAATTGATATGATAGCATCATGCTGTTGCTGCTGATTCGTCTGCTGCACATTCAAGATGTAAATCTCCTGTTCCATCACATCCCAAAGGTGCTCTATTAGATTAAGATCTGGTGACTGAGGAGGCCATTTGAGTACAGTAAACTCATTGTGATGTTCAAGAAACCAGTCTAAGATGATTCACGCTTTATGACATGGCGCATTATCCTGCTGAAAGTAGCCATCAGAAGATAGGTACACTGTGCTCATGAAGGGATGGACATGGTCAGCAACATTACTCAGGTAGGCTGTGCTATTGACACAATGCTCACTTGGTACTAATGAGCCCAAAGTGTGCCAAGAAAATATCCCCCACGACATTACACCAGCAGCACCTGAACCGTTGTTGCAAGGCAGGATGGATCCATGCTCTCATGTTGTTGATGGCAAATTCTGACCCTACCATGCGAATGTTGCTACAGAAATCAAGACTCATCAGACCAGGCAACGTTTTTCAATCTTCTATTGTCCATTTTTGATGAGCCTATGTGAATTGTACCCTCAGTTTCCTGTTCTTAGCTGACAGGAGTGGCACCCGGTGTAGTCTTCTGCTGCTGTAGCTCATCCGCCTCAAGGTTCTATTTGTTGTGCATTCAGAGATGCTCTTCTGCATACCTCGGTTGTAATGAGTGGTTATTTCAGTTACAGTTGCCCTTCTATCAGTCTGGCCATTCTCCTCTAACCATGGCATCAACAAGGCATTTGCACCCACAGAACAGCCGCTCACTGGATATTTTCTCTTTTTCAGACCATTCCCTGTAAACATTAGAGATGCTTGTGCATGAAAATCCCAGTAGATCAGCAGTTTCTGAAATACTCACAGCCTGACAACCATGTCACGTTCAAGTCACATAAATCAGCTTTCTTCTCCATTCTGATGCTCTGTTTGAACTGCAGGAGATCATCTTGACCATGTCTGTATGCCTAAATGTATTGAATTGCTGCCATGTGATTGGCTGATTAGAAATTTACGTTAACGAGCAGTTGGACAGGTGTACCTAATAAAATGGCCAGTGACTGTATATGTATAATGAATATAAATAATTCAGAGATTGTAGGGATTACAGAATCTCCAAAGATACTTTTGCCACATTTTTATATACCAAAACAGAACAAGTTGTCAAATTCAATATATGTTTCTTAAAATCTTAACTAGGACACTTGTAGTAGTTTGCCTCAACAGAAGATCATCACCTGCTTCTACGTCACTCTTCGTTTAGCTCCGCCCACTGAAATCACTTGTATATGTAAATAAAGAGAGGCAAATTTAGATCTATTTAAAAACCAGTCGACTGCTGTTAAAATCTTTTTGATCAGACATTTAAAATGATACCAAACATAAAAAAATTATATATTATGTGAAGGACACTGTATAGACATTCCTGGTGAACTCATGGCATTGTGAGTGGTTTTTGGTCTGAGTCTGGTGGAGGAGGAGGGTGGTTTCAGGATGGGTGAGAACAGAGCACAGAGACAAATTACTTCCTGATGTTTTCTCCTGATTTGTGGAAATTTTGTTTTATTGCATTGAATATGTTTTTGTCGCTGCCTTGTTAGGAAAACAAAATGTACCCGTAACATAAAATATGAAAGTGCTTCTCCCGTTAATTATTCAACAACTGATTTACACTGCAGACCCAAGCAACAAGCAGTTGACTTCTCACACATTACACAACCCGACAATACCAGTTGAAAATTTTCAATTGCAAAACTCGAGCAACAACAGATGAGAGCAGATGTCAACATGAGTAACACAGTGCTCTAACAAGACCAGACAAATGGTCTGTTGTTGCTGCTCAGAATCTATTTGTGCATTAGGAATGGGCTACAAGAGGAGTGTTTTTTTCCCTGGTTATTTCATCATGTGTTTATTTTAGCTCTTTAATAATAGAAAGAGCAAGTTTTTAGTTTTGTTTTTAACAAGCAACAATGAGTACTTTTGCATGGACACCAATAACACATTTAATAGACAATATTCTGATTAAAAGTCTACCTTAAACATCGATTTTTTTTGATTAATTCAATCCCATTAAGGTCATAACTAAACTAAACAGAAATCGGATTAAGACATGTGGAGGATGCCGATTTTAGTCGCATAACCGAAGTGCTGTACGGACATGTACACTCCTAAATCAAAATATTACCGCCATGTAGGGCTTTTCCTCGCATTTTGTGACAGGATATTCCATACACACGGCTGTTTGACACTGTTCTCTGTACCTATCAAGTCAGTAAAGGACCACAGACACATATATCTCAAAATGCAGAGGTTTTTGTTTCACCCATTTGGCGTGCGGTATCAAATTCCATTAAAACACAACTCATCGACCAGTCATTAATTCACACTTAGATCCTATACCTCATATTTTCTCAGGGGCATGAATAAAATGTTACCAAATAAAAGTGAAACTGCTGAACTGCAGTTCAAGCTGAAAAAAAAAAAATTGTTCCCAGTGATGGGTTGCAGCTTTTAGGGCATCGGCTTTGTAAAACATATGCTGAATAAGTTAACGGTTCTTTCCGCTGTGGCGACCC